TTCAAAGAATTATAAATAATCAAGATATTATAAAGATATTTTTGTTGAAGGTAATGAAAGTAAGAATATCTTTGATTTTCATGTGCCAGCAATGCAAATACCAAACACGGACGAGGGAAGGAGAATTTACAGATGCGCCATGAGAGTTGTACAGGAAGGTTCTCCGTTATGGTGTGAATGGAGAACGAAGGTATCCGGTTTCAGCTCAGTGAATGAAGTTTCGTGTGCACCACTGCCAAATGATGATGTTTTCAAAATTTGAGAGCAAGTTTCTATTTCTCTCTCTGTCTCTGAGTCTTCTCTTTTTGAAGTCAAGTATATTGCTTGCATTTTATGATAAGAATCATAAGAAAGGCCTGAAAAACCACAAATACTCCTCTTAAATTTTTGTATATAGTCTTAGGCCATATACACATTCCAATCGCTTGAATTTGAACTCTGTGCCTGAGTTACTTTGAACTTTGTATAACCCCCATATCAAATAATGGAAAATAATCATGAGCCACACAATCACGAACTATAATTAGTCATTTATTTATTCATCAAATATTTTCTGAATATTCATGATGCATCTTAAATTGATTGTTTCTTTCCTGGAAATGTTTTAGTTTCTTTATCCAGCTCAAATAACATGAAGTATCATTCATATATCCATTATGGTACCATTTATTTGTAATATTTTCATGATGAACATGTAAGATTTTGCAATATGATATAACTAATTCAAAGACAGCTGGAAAATTGTGAAGGAAATTATCCAACCAGATTTGTTTTTCAAGAATAGTCGGAAAAAATTCATGAAAGTCACAGGTTTGGTTATATCTAGGAAGAGATAAGAGATATTATTCATCAAGAATCAGAGTTTCTTGCTTGAGAGGCAAGGACTCAAATGCTTGTGCCATTTCTTACTGTCTTCCAGAATTCAAGTTAGCATGAACCTAGGCCCAAAGCACGATAGCTGGACCTCAAAGCAGAAACTCCGTTATAGGATGCACACATCCCTCAAATCCTAGCTGGTGCAGCAGTACCAAGTAATGAACAGTCATTGTCTGCACATCTCATCTTTATTTTTTTGTTGGTATATACCTGGTATTTCTCAAATAAGGAAAATTGAACTTCACCCTACTACTACTCTGGGAATATTTTTGGTTAATACCTTCTTGGTTCTATTAGTTCACTTTAGAAGTGCAGCAGCAGTTTTTTTTTTTCTTTCAATTATTTCAAAAAACACAGAAACCAAGTATAAAGAAATTTTCTGAAAACTGAGTCATTTATCCTACCTATTGTAGTGTTCCTAAGTGAAGAATTCCAAGTGGATGAGAAAATAACAAAATTGTAACTTGGAGAACTAAGGTGAATATAAACATTTGCATATTGTATCTGTTAAGAATGTCATAGAGCTAGAACATGATTAAGATGTGTTTCTATCTCAATATATTTTACTGTACTGTGCTGGCAAGAAGATAGACTATTTTTCTCCATCCCAGGAGGGAAAAAAAAACTCATAATGGCACAGTATTTTTAAAAGACATTTTGTGAAAATATCCTCCAATTTTGGGAAAACTTTATTAGGTACTCAACTTTTTGCAATTCCAATTTCCCAGAAATCATATTGTACAGTTTCATGGGCTTCAGCAATCATTTCCTCTCTTTTCGCATATATTTTCAAATTTTAAAACCTGTCCCTGTGTTTCCTCTAACAAATTATTGTCAGGACATTGTCTCTTGTTTGTTACATCCAAAAAGATAAAAGAAATACCGTATCTGCAATATACAGAAACAGATTCCATACAGAAAAGACCAGGATAAGACAGATACAAAAAAAACTATACAAGGAAATGCATGAAAATAGGAAATATGATAGCCAAGGTGTTTAGTGAATGCCAAGTTTGGGGATGATATAAACACTGAGCAACTGCCTCATGTTCAAGTAGATAGATAATAACACCTTGAGCAGAGGACTACTTTTCAAAACTTTTATGGTTAACATAACTTGTATCACAATTTCTAAGGGAATTTTCATGGAACTTGCAGCATAATTTTAAATTTGTTAGAGAATGACTGATGAGTAAGAACACACAGATACTTAAAGGAAAACTTAGGGAAAATTAAATAATGAGTATCACGGTTTATTATAAAGATTTCATACATAGAAAGCCTGGTATCAATGACTAGAGTAGAAAAGAAAATCAAGTTCGTATAAAATCTAAATGAGAATTATAATTGCATGAAAGTAATTTTCTATAATAAGTAAATAAGACTTGAAAGCAAAAGAAATGGACAAAATTAAATTCATCAATATTTTAATGAAACAAAAACTTGTGAAAACTTTAAAGATTTAATCACTATTTTGTGCAAGATATTCACAACATATGCATCTAGAAACCTATTCCTAATGGATTAATTCAAACTGTGAGTTGTTTACTTTCTGTGCTTTCCAATGAGTATAATTGAGAAAATTGCATTTGTTCTAATCTAAAAGTTCAAGCAGATCGATAATAAACATAAAAGCAAAGAAAACATAAAAAATGAATTTTCAAATAGAATTGATATTACCTGGAACTGGAAGGTTAAACCTTAGCAAGACTCCTAGTCTAATTTTACTCAGTCAAAAATTTTATTTGTGCAAAATCTAGTGGTTAGTAAATAATATGTTTATTGGTGGGTTCAGAAATCATTTTCTATGTTATGAAGGGGATAGCTTTGTTCTGAAAAGAAAAAAAATGCAATGATGCTGCCTCAGCTTTTGAATTTTCATTATTGACTGTTCTAAAGAGAGAATATGCTAAGATATTTTCCCATACAAACAACGTCAGCCTCAAAGAGCCAAAATCTCACTGTAATTTTACTATTTCTAACCTAAAGAACAAATACTCAGCTTCTCTTTTGAACTATGGTGTCTGAAATGATCCGCAACTCTTCCTTGAAAGAATTAATTGTACTCAAATGTATCATATATTTTTGTGGGGGAGTGCAATAAGACATAACTTTAATTTCTGTATCTGTTTTGAGATAATGCAACATGCTTTTCATATACTGGGATTCCTTCTAGGTCATGGAAATAAAAATTACTAGGTCATTTGGTGTATCACTGCTTTGTCTAATTAGGAACCTCTTGTTACTCTGAAAATTTTTGTATAACAAGGCACAACCAGAAGAAATTTAGAACAAAATTCTTCACTCAGAGTGCCTTCCTGTTTGACTGCTTACTTGCAAGAAACTCTAGGCTTGCTTGTATTATAAAAAAAAAACAAAACAAAGATAATTATAGTTATGTATCTATTTTGAGAACAGCTGTCATCTTTTGGAAATCCAAGTAGAAAATGCAACATTTCTTGGGTGTACTCATGGTCATGTGAACAGAATATTTTTCTCCCTTTTTTAGTGTGTTGGAAAGCAGGACAGTGGCCAGCAGAAAGTGGAAAACAGAAATTTGAAATTAGTGCTTTAAATGTTCAAGAGAGGTAGTGCAGTGTTTTGAAGACTTGAAATTTGTGAATATCGGAGCAAATCCCAGTTGAAATAATCATTGTACCAAATGGCACTGCACACAGTAACCAAATATTTGTTTATTTGCTTTTAGTTGAAATGTCAACGTGAGACAATCGGTGTTCCATTCTGAGTTCTTTGTTACTCGAAGCCGAGAAAATAGAATAATTCATGCAATATGACTTATGAGACGGGGATGTTGTACCAGGGAAGATGGTTTGAGAACCATGATGTTTCTCTCTGGCTAGTTTGACTTCACACTGAAGCCTGTCTTTAACCCTCCCGCAAAAACTCTTAAGCATTGCTCCTAAATTTATATGTACAAGTGTTTATGTATGTATAGATCATATATATTTGCTACATGCAAACTGAAGCCCCTCCTACAGTGTCTCATTTTTTGGTTCTGTATCAACGGTAGGATACTACCGAAATTCAGTACATGTGATTATGCATATAATGTATTTTCTGCAAATACTAATAAATGAAGCTTCTACTATATCCTAGTATAAACGTTTTAGAACATGACTGACTCTCTTATGAGGTATCAAAGTTTTATTACAATTCTTCTAAATGTCTTTTAAATATTGTGAAATTCCAAACAGTCAACTTTATCAGGCAAGGTGAGAAAAAAAATTAATTCTAGATTTAGAGTTATGATTGTGTGTGTTCTGAAATGGCATGTAAAGGCTATTTTAAATTTTAAATTCATTTTTGGGGAGACAGAAAGAAAAGGACGACTTTCAACTGTGCGCTGGGAAATTAACGCCAGTTGTCCATGTGGTGGCGCTAACACAATCGCCGGAGCCTTCACTTACTGCCTCCCAAAGTGTGAGTTAGCAGAATATACTGGAAGTAGGCGTGAGGCTGGGACTCAGTCCCAAGCAATCCAGTGTGGGGTTTAGGCGTATTGACCACTAAGCCGAATGCCTACCTCATAGACACTTTAATAGAGTAAATTATATTCGGTTTGGATAAAACTCCACTAGTTCAACATAAAGTCCCATTCATTCAATCCATAATTGTGTAGATGATTTGGTCCATGTCCACAGGAAAGGTGGACAGAGTAAAAGTCAGAATGAGGAGTGAGGGGCCCAGGCCAATGGCTCAGCGACCCCATTTGGGGGCTGATTCGTCCCAGTTGTGCTACTTCCCTTCCAGCTCCCTTGCTTGTGTCCTGGGAAAGCAGTAGAGGATGCCCCAAAGCCTTGGGACCCTGCACCCACCTGGGAGACCCAGAAAAAACTCCTGGCTCTCGGCTTCAGATCATCTCAGCTTTGGTCATCTTGGCCACTTGGGAAGAGAACCAGAGAACAGAAGATCTTTCTCTTTGCCTCTCCTTCTCTCTGTATACGCAAAATTAAAAAAAAAAAAAGACATAAATAAGAATGAGGAATGATTCGAATTGGGATCATGTTAAAGTTTTAAGAGGATTTATGAACTAGAAACCAACATGTATTGTTCAGGTGGCCATTTTGAAGTTATGCAAGCTATTCTGATTTTGACTTTTTCAGATAATTCCCTCAGCATTTTTGCGAAGCATAATGGATTCAACCGTCAGAAGCAAGAAGTCTATCTCTTACCAATCATAATCAGTGATAATGGGAATCCCCCTCTCAGCAGCACCAGCACCCTCACCATCCGGGTCTGTGGCTGCAGCAGCGATGGTGTGGTCCAGTCCTGTAACGTGGAAGCATACGTCCTTCCGATTGGACTCAGTATGGGCGCCTTAATTGCCATATTAGCATGCATCATTTTGCTACTAGGTACGTATCTCCTTGCTCATCACCATTTTTTTTTCTGGTTTGTCAATGGCTGGAAAGCAACAAACTCGGACCCAGGCAGGCAGGCAACAGCAAGGTTCTTTGAGCAGAAGAGGCCCATCCTCTGGGGACACAAAGACAGCAGGAGGACCACAGGGGTGATGGCAAAGGTTACAATGTTTCCAGTCCCCACACAAGTGAAAACAATAAAGATAGTAGAAGTGGACAGGGATCACTCCGTAGTTAAAACAGCACATATTGTGTAAAAAGGGCTTGGAAATAATGGTTACACATCCCCGCACTGCATATAAGAGCTCCTGCGTGGTCACAGTACTGTTTTATCTAAAAAATATACTTTTTCTTATTGCAATGTTTGGTAAGAAAAAAACAAAACATGCAACATAAAGTATGTGTTTTTCGAAATGAATGTGGTTTTTTTTAGTTTTTTCTTTTTTTTTTACATTAAAATGAAGTCAAATGAAAGATACTTCATTTTAGGTGAGCTTCTGTATCATTTATGTTAATATAGAATTATAAAATGAGCTTGGATTTCAAGAAAAAAGAGCAAAGATGTATATTATCCTGTCCTTGAACAGTGAAGTGCCTGAGAGTTTTTGTCAGGTACTGCTTTTGCAATACAGCTTTGTGGTTCACCCAGTAATTAATTTAAAAATTATTTTACTCCTTGAACTCAAGCTTTCTGCTTTTTCTACCATCCTTTGATCTATCTTGAGACAGAAGAGTTGCAGTTTTCCCGCAATTCCTTTATTTTTAAAATATGTAGAGAGAGGAGAGAGAGAGAGGAGAGAGATTTTCCAGCTGTTGGTTCACCCCTGAAGTGGCTGCAAAGAAGTTAAGGACCAACAGCTACTTCTGGGTCTTTTATGTGGCTAATGCATATCCACACATAGGCAAAAAAAAAAAAAAAAAAAATGCCACACACTCAATTCTACCATGAAAAACTATTAATTAATGGAAAGTGCCTTGAAAAATTGTTAAAAACAAAAAATAGGGCCCGGCGCGGTGGCGCAGTGGTTAAGGTCCTCGCCTTGCACGCCCGGGATCCCATGTGGGCGCCGGTTCTAATCCCGGCAGCCCTGCTTCCCTTCCAGCTCCCTGCCTGTGGCCCGGTAAAGCAGTCAAGGACGGCCCAAAGCCTTGGGACCCTGCACCCGCGTGGGAGACCCGCAAGAGGCTCCTGGCTTCGGATTGGCATAGTATCGGCCTGTTGCGCTCACTTGGGGAGTGAATCATCGGACGGATCTTCCTCTCTGTCTCTCCTCTCTGTATATCCGCCTCTCCAATTAAAAAAAAAAAAGAATAGGTATTTTCTAGTCTTCTTTTACTTGTTGGAAGAGAGACTCAAAGCAAACGGATATCAAATGACTTGCCCAAGACACCCAGCACCGTTAGTCATGCTGTTGGTGTTACATTCCATTGGCTCTAGAGCTGCTGACAGCATTATGAAATGACGTTTTTAATCATGAATGGATATTCATCTAATCTTGTAATCTGACCCAATCACTATTTTATAAACCAGAATATCCCAAAACAGCCTTTGTTACACTTCAGAACTGAAAGAAAGGTGTTTTGTTTAGTTCCTTAGTAAGTGTTACAATGCTAAGTTAATACATTTTAAACAGATATCCAGTTCCCTTAATGAATATTGTGGGCTGCTTGCTGAATTACATGCTAGCTTGTTTAATTGATATTTAATATTTGTCTTGCAGTCATCGTGGTGTTGTTTGTAACCCTACGAAGGCATAAAAATGAACCACTCATTATTAAGGATGACGAAGATGTCCGAGAAAACATCATCCGCTACGATGACGAAGGAGGAGGGGAGGAGGACACGGAGGCTTTTGACATAGCAACTTTACAAAACCCAGATGGAATTAATGGATTTTTACCCCGTAAGGATATTAAACCAGATTTGCAGTTTATGCCAAGGCAAGGGCTCGCTCCAGTTCCCAATGGTGTTGATGTCGATGAATTTATAAATGTCAGGCTGCATGAGGCAGATAACGACCCTACGGCCCCACCTTACGACTCCATTCAGATTTATGGCTATGAAGGCCGAGGGTCAGTGGCTGGCTCCCTCAGCTCCCTGGAGTCCACCACTTCAGACTCAGACCAGAATTTTGACTACCTCAGTGACTGGGGTCCCCGTTTTAAGAGACTGGGAGAACTCTACTCTGTTGGTGAAAGTGACAAAGAAACTTGACAGTGGATTATACATAAATCAATGGAACTGAGCATTCTGTAATATTCTAGGGTCACTTCCCTTAGGTACAACCAATGTGGTTATTTGTTTTAGAGGCAAGTTTAGCACCAATCATCTATAAACTCAACCATATTTTAATGTTGAACCAAAAAAAAAATACCTAAAATAAAAAGTGTGTTAGGAGGTTATAAATCTTGTGGAGTGTGAATTAAGTATGTGCAGTGTCTAGAAGTCTTTGGATATTTGACATTTACTTGATTACCACAGACAAAGATTGGGATCCTGATTAATCCTGGTTTCAAAAGAGGAAAAAAATCAAAATTAAAAAGGTGCTTTCTTAGAGAAACGGATCTGCACGGAATCTGCTGCTGATACGTATCTGCTGCAAGGATTTTTATGAATGCAAATGGTTTTTTTCCCTTTCACCAATAAGGATCCCGCCACAAATGATAAAGCAATACTTGGTCTGCTGTACATTATGACTTTTGGAGTTTTGGGAGGCCTCCTAGATAATACGGTACGGTGACCACACTTTGTATATAATTGTTGGCCCCACTCACCAGAGACTGGATAGCATCTTTAACTATTGTGTCGAGCCTTAAACGATTCACGTGTTCGTGATCCATTCCAGGGTGGGTATTGCCAGCTCAGTGTTGGGAGGAGAGCAATGCCAAGCAAACAGTCTTGTTTGCTACGAGCTGGATTCCTCGTTCCCTCCACTCCATCTTCTTCCACCAAGATTAACTGTGCCACACAGTGGACTACACAAGCGACAGGTGGTTTTCTTGCTAGCGCGTGAATTTATTTGTTTAATCCTCAAAATAAATATTTTATTGATGTTCATTAATGCTTTTATTTATTAAGGTTGGTAATCTATAGACTAAGGGGCTACATGAGAAAAACCCTAAATTATATCCATTAATAATCCTTTAGATTGTTTTATATAAATATATATATATACAATGAATGTTTAATACATGTACATTTTGACGAGATAAGTATGGCAGGCAATATTATCCAAGGAGAGCTAATAGTCTCTTTAGAGTAGAAAGTGTTATTGTGACTGGTGAAGGCAGGAACAGCATTTTCCCAGAGAAACTTTTGGACTGTTTTCTATTTTGTTCATAATACTAGTATTTGGTGTTTTTACTACAAGCACAAACATCTGAAAATATAATGGCTCCTGTAACTATTTACACTTTAGACTTTTAGATACCATAAAATGCCCTGCTCAGTCAGCATCTTTCAAGTGGCCCCTACTGTTTCAGAGCAGGTTCTGATTTGTACATAATTTTACTGCTTATATTTTTAGCACTTTTCTCCCCAAACTACATGGTGACGCACACAATGTTTTAGACTTCAGAAACAACAGCACTAGGAGATGTGAGCATATCTGATTTGTACTGCAATCCTGCCATTTAGAAGTAGAAAATGTATGATCAAAATCGAGTATTACATGCAGATCATTTTAATTTTATACTTTGCTTTAATGCAATATTGTTTATTTACTCCATGTATTGTATTCAGAGAAACTCCTGTATTGTTTCCTACTTTGTGAAATATATTTTTATAAATACTTTTTGTTGTCATCAATTTTTTCAGATAGATGAAGACTCATGAACAGAATTATCAGCTCTAAAATTCTGAAGTGTTTAACCAAATCATCCGATGAACCACTTTCCTTTGTCAGAATTTTTATTATGAAAGAACTAGAGAAGAGTAATGACTTAGCAGTGATCACACAGCAAGACACAACAGGGATGTTAAAGGAGTCGGAGCGTTGAATGGCGGGTCCAGCTGTATCATCTGGGTATTTCTAGAAGTAGACACCAAGGTTGATCTAGGAGAAAAAGATAAAAGACACAGCAGTGTCCAACAGGGAAAGGCTTCAGACATGCTTGACGAAAGAAAACTTATCATAAAACATGAAGGGGTCAGGAAAGCCGGATTTCTCAAGAGAACCTTACACCAGAATGCAAATCGGGAGACATCTCTGCCGGTCCATCAGGGAGCAGTGAATGAAAGCGTGTCTGTTAGAGCAGCGTCTAGTGGGGCAGCCATTTCAGATGTGGCTCTCCATCACTGCCTTGGGGATGTCTGAAAAGAGTGTAGCTTTGGCTTGAAAACAAAAAGTGCCAACCTCTGGAGGCTGTCCCCACTGTGACAGAAACAAAACGTTTAGCGATTATGTTAATAATTTTAACAACCCAGGAATTGATTCAACTATGCTTGAATTACGCTTGCCTGAGAACAGTTCATCTTTTGTGACAATCATGATGACTGTGAAAACACTTTCTCTTAAGGTACAAAGGAAAAGAGTGTCCTAAAGTGACCTTTAAACAAACCCCAAATCAGCACAGTGCCAGCAAGTATGTCCTAAATCTAAATTATTAATAGTTATAATAGTAATAATAACATTCCAATTACATTGCACATTATAAAACAAGTATATCTTCGTACGTTTTATTTCCTGCAAATCAGCTAACAGTGTAACATGGAAATGAGTGCCATGTGTTACGGACACACACATGTGTTTCAGAGAAAAAGTGCTCTATTCAATAATGTAAAATCTATTATCTCCAATTTTGGCAATCGATAGGATAATCTTCATTTGGTATTTCATGGAGAGAAGATAATGGCTGACGTAATATGTGTGAAAATATTGCCTCAAAATTCACTTCTGCAAGGGAGACTGCATACATGCATTCTGTGGATTTTTGTTTGCTCCCACTTTTGTCGTATTTCGTGCTGAAGGGCTCATTTCAGGTTTTGAACTATGAAGTTAAATGAGTGATAGCATGTTCACAACAGAAGTGAATGGTATATTTGGAGGACCCCGAGGTTAGCTAAATTTCTAAAATATCAATACAGATACACAAATGCAGACAAAGTACGTAATTTGCCTTAAGCTTTCGTTCTAGCAACAGATTTGCCAAAACTTCTACAACAATGATGTTCCCTATCTTTCTAAGGTTAATGTGCCTCATGCTCAACTCATTAAATAACGCCTTTATAAACTAATTTAATGGACTTTTTATTTCTGTGCATTGTTCAGTGCCATTCATATATGAGACTATTTTTCAAAAGAAACAACTTCACAAGCATTTTAATGCATCTGTGAGTTTTTGGTTTCCCCACCACGAGCCTTTTCTGTTCTTCAAAACTTATTATTGCCCAAGAGTTATCTGTCTAATAGAGCAGAACTATTAAGTTGGAACCAAGTGTGACAAAAATTATTTTCCAGGGCCTACTTCGCAACCCAAGGTTCTTGTCAGGGAAATAAATGCATCCCTGGGTGATCGGGCAGCTCATGGGATTGATTCATCCTGTATGTATTTGACCAAATCTAACTGCGAAAATCTCTCTTGAGCTTCAGCATACATTTATTATAGTACAGTGGAAGGACATTTCTTCCAATAATTTGAATTCTGTTGTTACAAGTTTAAAAATAATGTATAATAGGATGAATAAGATATGCTATAAGTTAAATTCATGTGTGGAACTTGCTGCACAAAATGATGATGGCTGAGGTATAAACTCCAAGCTGAACATGTTTTGGAGAAAAATGTGTGAACAAGTGTATGTGTATCTATAAAATAAGGGCAAATGCAGATTCCCTGGCTCCACCAGAGAAGCAAGAATGCTCAGAAATAGACAAATGTGTCTTTGTGACAGTTTGCTTAATCAGATGCTTAAAGGAAGACAGATCTCTGCATGAGACTTAGAAATCTCCCAGGAGCAGCAGTTTCCACACTGAGACTCAACAGCGCTGGGATATGCTGTATTTTGGAGAAGGAAAGGCGGGTGCTGAGAGCTAAGTAGCCAATTACTCTTTATAGCCACAAAAGGACTGGAGGCAAGTAGGTCCTTCCAACAAGTTGTATTATGCCATCACTGGCTTTGCGGGGAACCTCACGAATGTATAACCTTCTGATTGCCTTTTTGATTGAAAGTTCCATCTGAGATCAAGGCAGTGCAACCAGTAATAAGATTTCAAAAAATCCCATCACTGGCACTGTCGGAAAGGCTGAGCATGACTGAAATCCCATCGTTGTCAGTCAAAAAGATAAGGTAACAACGGGCCTCACTGTAGAAGCGCCGTAAACGCATGATCTGCACATAAATAGCAACATTAAAAGTGCTGTGTTCTTACGTACTTGCAGAAAACTATACATTTTCACACACAATTAAATTACAATATTCACCATCTTATATATACTACCCAAAACCTCAATGTTGTCTGTTTTCCAGAATCTAACTCAAGAATTTGAAAAGAATTGTATGGAGGATTGCAGGTTCCAGATATATTTTTTGTTTGTGAACAAAATGATAGCTCATAATAGCTGAGATTACAATGAAGTGTATCATATCATGAAAATAGATTTAGATGTCTATGTCATTGCATTTTGTTGAGTAAATAATTGTACAGCATGTTTTCTCTGAAATACTCTTCTATCTTATTTTTTTCTTTAATTCCAATATTATTTTATTAGCATTTCTTTGCAATATCAGTCAGTTGTCCGGTATTGAGTATATTGCTTGCAACTATAATGATTTCCCTTTGTGATAACTGCCAAAGATAATGTCTTCATTGTCTACTGCTAAAGTAGACATTTATTTTTATTCATTTCTTCCTAAGCAGAAAAAGCTTGTACACCCCATGGCGTAGTTTTGATATTTAGGATGTGTAGGTTTAGTATTTTGGACTTAGTATTGCTTATATAGAGCTTATGCAATTAAAAATCTCTCCATTTTGATGGAATACCTAAGTAGCAATAATTTTGTTAAATGCATTTGTTGAATGATATATAGCTGATACAGAAAAAAATTGTGACATCTTCAAGCTTTATTTTTTAATTGATAAAACAAAAGTATTTAATCTGCTGAAAACTAATTACTGAAGCAATAGGTGGATAATAATTGAACTTGAGTTTAAACAGGTTGGTCTGATATTAAAATTCCTTACATTTCAACTAAGGAGTCTTATCTGTAATCATAATATGAGGCTTCCAATGAGAAGAAATAGTTAATAACACTAGGAAGAAAGTAACTGCAAATGGAGACATGAATTTTTCCAAAAAATATTTTTTTTGAGATGCGGGTAATAAATTTCATAGTTAATCTAAAACCTTAAGCACCACATGTAAATATTAATCGCATATTTCTCTACACATGAAAACATCCAGATACTGGGCATTCTAGATTTGCTAGGTTTTGCGGACAGGAAAAATAAAGAACGTAGACTTCTTTAATTTTCCAGGGTTAAGTTGCACATGTAACCTAAAAGACAGAAAATAGACTCAGGTTTTCTGGGTCATTTCTTTGGCCATGCAACTGTGTTTCTGCATGTGTGCTTCTCTTTCTTTTTCAAGGAAATTTCATCGAGGTCTTGAGGCCGGTAGGCATTTGCTGGAAATATCAGTGCCTCTTTTGGAAAACCTGGCACCGTCTGAGTGCTGCCTTGACTACAATGATGATCTCTTGCAGGGGTGTTTACTAATAGATAATAGATATCTTTATTATCATCCACAGATTACAGAAGAGGGTTTCTAGCAGACCTAACACAGCATGCTGTCTGAAGACTATGGAAAGCAATGGCTTCGATGAACTCAGAGGCCAGCACCACACAAGGAAGTGAGAGGTCACTAAAGGCAAATTCCCATTCCTTGCCTTCTTCTCTGTACATGCTAAGGACGCCAGGGCCATCCTGGGAATCCTCACACACATGGGCAAGATTTTAACAGCTTTGATTTAAGATTGAACACACACAAATTTGGTGGTCAATTGGGCCACTTCCCTTTTCTAATGTACCCCTTTCCTTGATGGCAACTTTGTCTAGTAGTCTTCCAAGTTTTCGTTAATACATTTTCTAAAGCTTGAACGTTATTCCATATTTGTCAAGTTTGATTGTGTGAATATATGAATCGATGATCTAGGTTCAATGTTAGAGCTATAAATATTAATATTGCAAATAAACTTGAAAAATGTCCTTCCTAACAAAAACATTCTTTTCTACGAAATATGTTCTGGAAATTCTGTTAGTGACAAGAAGTTCTTCCCAAACATATTTTTCTTGCATCTCAAAGACATGTCGTCTAATAGGTAAATGATAAGTGACAATAAATGAAAAAAAAAATTGTGTCTCATATCATAAGCAAACAGTGGTTTTGAGAGCATAGAGAAAGAATATGTAAACTTGCAAAACATAATAAAATGATTGTTGGAGGGAGCACATCCCGTTAGAATGCAGGGAAACACTAGATCAAGGCGGAGGTGCCTGAAAATGAACAGCGATGTTAAGGCGGGAGATTTTTCAATGGACTTTCCTGTCAGTGATTCTCAAGTATCTGGTCTTTTAAGTGGGACAAAACTTCCTGTACCGTAATCACTTAATAAATGTGTACTGAGGACTTTCCAGGAATCCAGATGCTGAGAATACAACCATAAGTAGGATAGAGAAAGTATGTGTTTCCAAAGTTCTAAAGGTGTGGGGAAAATATGGTAGTATAGAAATGGAAAAAAAAAACAGTGTAATATAATGAAGACAAAACAAATGGAGTAGGAGTTAAATGTTTT